TATGAAAAACTAAGTCATTATTATTAGAAACTTTTTTCATTATTATGATATGTTAAGTGATTATGAGAGAGATTCTCATTATTATGTGATGCTAAGTCGTTATCAGAAGCTTTATCATTGTTATAAGCTGTTAGGTGGTTATTATATGACAAAGTTTCGCATTACTGCAAAATGCTAAATCATTATTATAAGAAAATTCCTCATTATCTAATGTTAAGTCATTATTATTAGAACGTCATAATATTTATTTTTCTAAATATAACGTTAACTTAATTATGAGTTCGCTTCTCATTATTATGATGTACAAAGTACATAATTATGGTACAGTCTCTCAATATAATGGAGCAGTAAGTCACAATTATGTGAGTTTCTCATTATTATGATTTACAGAATCATATTTTTACTCAGTAGTGGTGGAAACGGGTTTCTGTGATATAATGCATTATCTTATTACCTCTAACCGAGTGTAAAGGTTTGCAACAGTTTTACATAGACCTTCTGCCTGTCTGTGCACACAGGCCTGTCAAAGATTCCGCGCATGCGCAGTGCGACCCTTTCATTCGATTTTTTTTTTTTTTTCGTCTTTTCTGCCTTAAGTATATAGTGTTGCGCCCAATTTCAAAAAGTGTATTAGTCCGACAGCTAATTTACACAATAGCAGCCTCGGTGTATATCTTTATCTGTCTAACCATATTAAGAATAATTCCAGCACGCATGCGATTTTAATCGTTATAAATTGCTTTGAGGTCTTACATTACACTGCCGATCATCATAACCATATCCTCGGAGCTATTCACAACGTAACGTTAGCTAGACAATTAAAAGAAAAAGAAAGAAAAAAAAGCATGAATGTGAGGAAACGTCACACCATTCACATGAGAACATAGTCTAGAATTGACTTACGAAGCTTTTTCCACATTGCATGATGGCATGCGATGAAACCCTTGCGAATTGCGGCACAAACTTTCCGGTAATCCTTAGACCAAAAGCCCCGCTGCTGCTTGAGAAAATCCCAGAGATGATCTCGAGCGAACAGCGCAGCTTCTCGCCCTCCGTGGCCGTCAAACACGGCGAAGAACGCGACCGATCTTCTGCTGTCCCCCGCCGCCGGCTCCGTACCGTCGCTCTCCTCGGTGAACAGTGTGTTTCTCCACGTTACCGTGACAGGTAAAGGCTTGTTTGTGCAGTCCGGCGGGTCGCTTTCAGAGACCGGCTCTTGATCCGACTTTGGATCGGTGTGCCCGGCCGCTCGCAGCTCATCGTCGCTGGGCTCCAGCTCCACGATCACCTCCGTTAAATCCTCCATGTATTTCCTTCCTCCTTGTTCGGAGAAGACGCTCACTCGCAGCGATAGGTCGGGATTCATGGCCAGTCGGACAGCCCTTGCTGATAGGTCAACCTAAAGACTGCAAACGCGTGATTAAAAGATTTTAGATAACGTCAAAAACATTTATTAATCCGAGCTCGTCTTTTGTTTATTTTCTAAGCTGCCAGTCCTGCCTTCCTTCGCAGACACATAGTAATGCAGGAAAGAACAGTCATTAGCGCCATCTGTTGGACAGGAGGATTATGTACGATGCAGTGGTGGTTTGTATACTATTCTATGTACTATACTACCTACTATTTCTAAAAAATAGTCTACACATTTCAGGTTTGTCACATGACGTTGTTTCAGGGGGTCAGGAATTGGCTGCTTAGCATCACCCAAAGGGGTCAAGCCATTCAGAAATATTTGTAGTCTATTCTAAGTAAACATTTGCAATCGGCTTATGAATTTAATTATTGTAGTATGTTTACCAGTGCACAGTTCTTTTAGGAGGCTCTTTAAAATGTGAAATGCTCAGTAAGAAGAGAAATTCTTCTGTGAGTTTCAACCACTATACCACACCAGCTCATTTATTTCTGAATATGAAGACAACAAAATCAGGTTACATCAGCATTACACAGTAAATAACAGTTGTAGAAACCATCAAACTAATTGTTTTAGGGAGTAAACAGATTCCCAGGCAATTAGGCATAATTGTTCAGAACTGCTGATACTGTGGTGTTACACAAGAACTATTGAGATCCTATGTGATGGCACCAGAACTGTAATGGTATCAGATAGTAAATACTGTGGTTCTTATTCATACTACCATACTCGTTTGACAAAAAAGAAAAGATAATTAATAAAAAAATTAAGTAGCCTAATAGTTATGGAAACGTTTGCTTGAGGCTTAAGCCTTTATGTTTATCTGAATTTATTTGAGTGCAGATTGTGTTTTGTAGCTAAAGTTGGCTTTGGTTTACTGGTGAGAAAGTGCATGTGCTTAGTCTTTTTCACCCTCACTGCCATATAATGAAGTTATGATGAACACATAATTCAGCTATGAAGAAAACAATACAATCATATATTCTTGAGTGGAACTCTTCTAATGAAAATTTTAGGAAAGAAAGCCATTTGGGTGCATGATTGAATAATCTGATTCAGTTCCAAGAAAGCATTAAAGGATTTTTTTATTATTTTAATATGTTAATAATAATTGAGGTTTACTTAGTGTAAATGAAGTTTTTTTGCAAACACAAAAAAATAAATATGTGGGGAAATTATTATTTTCAACCCTCATTCTGAACCTCTCTCTAAAATGACCTGTTTTTAAAGGGCGTGTCCTTTAAGGCTTCTCAGTAATCGGCCACTGTTATGATTGGCTAACATCATTGCATAGGAAACAGTATCAACGCCCCCTCGCTATTGCATGTGTGTTTTGACAACATAATCAAAATAAAATGGTTATTTTCAGACAAAGCAGTATTAAATCATTTACTTGCGGTTTGTGATGCAGCTGCAGTCAGATCTAGTACCGCTTCATCTTTCAACAAATGTTTCTTTGTGAACTCTCCATGACATTGTGCCTCATTTACAAAACAAAATGCTCCGATCAATCCTCTGGTGCCATTATAAATAAACTATCCACTTGTTCCTTACGCTGGGATCCTTCTGATATCTGTACAAAGATGCGAACGTGAATTACGAAATCGTGTGAATTACTTGTTGATTTTTGTGAAGTTTTTATCAGCTGTTTGGACTCTCATTCTGAAGGCACCCATTCACCACACATGATCCATTGGTGAGCGAGTGATGTACTGCTAAATTTCTTTAAATCTATTCTGATTATGAAACAAACTTATGTACATTTTGAATGGCTTGATGGTGAGGAAATTTTAAACCAAATTTTCATTTGGGGAGAACCATTACTTGAATACTATGTCAAATCAAACTCACACTTGTAGTTTTATCTACTCTAAGTAGCCTATAGTTTTCCTTCTGTCAATGTAGAGATTGTGTCCATTGTTTTTCATGCACTTCCCACAGCCTGGAACAGTGGTTTGGTCTAGGGCTGTGCAATTAATCGCATGCGATTGTCATGCGCATCTCATCAGTAAAGCCGGTTCCGTGATTAGTAGTAAATCTCCATCACCTGCTTTCAGATGGAGTGGCATTTACTACACAGGGCCGTAGTTCACTGACAATTAGGCAATATCGCGTTCATAATCGCAGATGAATCGCATTCGATTATGAACGCGATATTGCCTAGCTTGTCAGTGAACTACGGCTCTGTGTATTAAATGCCACTCCATCTGAAAGCAGGTGATGGCGATTTACTACCAATCACAGAACTGGCTTTTTTAGCTTTCTCTTGAATATTTTCAGTGATTCATATTCAATCTGTTGTAGAGTCCCTTGCAACTATGCAAAGAAAACAATTTATACCATTCACTTGTTCTCTCTTTTTGGTGGTGACCATTTTGCCAAGTCTCAGCGCAGACAAACATTGGTAAAGCCTAACTGTATTAAATATAGAATTTTCCATCAATAGAGTACGGTTGGTGGTAGTTAACAGACTAGAGTGTTATTGTTGAAAACATTCAAATATCAGGCCCTAACGGCAGACATGCACTGTGCGAGTTTGGGCAATTGGGAGGTTGTGACTGCCTGAACACATAACGAGCCAGTTAACCTGAGCCTCGTCAAAGCAGTTGGTACATGGCCAGAGCTGGGTAGTAACTGATTACATCTGGATTACGTAATCAGATTCCAAAAAATAAGTACTTGTAATTGATTAAATTACATTTTAAAATACTCGTAATCAGACTACAGTTACTTTTTTTATTGATTACTTATTATTCACACAGCAGCAATAAATTATTCATAACTTATTGATTCCCCCTATAATCCTCTTTTTCATCTTTAACATTTTCCTTTCTAAAATAACCTACCACTTAAATACACTCAGAGGGTCTTCCAGCTTTGTGGACATTCACACAGAGATCAGTCATTAGTCAGGTGGCTACACAGCATCTGGATTTACAAAAATAATTTCCATTTTAAGCATTTTAACATGGCATCCACTACTATGAACATATTACTTTTTATTTGAATCATCACTCAGTAGGCTAACTGTATTACTATGCCTTTGGAAGGCTTTTGTCTTTCAAACACATTAAAATGCACAAATTCATGTTATTCATGTTTACATGTAATGCAGGCATTCCCAAACTTTTCTGTAATCTGAACCTCTTTCATCTAATATATTTACTTGAAGTACCCCAGAGATTTTGAAATAAATATTTTAATCATTACCATATTTGCATGTTCAAGGTTATCTGGTGTTGGTTAATGGTAACATGACATGCAGGTAAACAAATAAAATATTTCATTTTTTAGTAAGTGTTTTATTTTGATTGATTTTAAAATGATTTATTTGACATTTTAATAATTTAATTAATTATTAGCTTTCCATTAAACTCATGAACCCCCTGGAGTTTTCATAGTTGCTGCTATTGCTTTGAATAGAAAAAGAAAACTTGACTATGGAAAGGTTGAGGCCAACAGCAGAGAACAGCAGTCGTTCTGTTTAAAAAAAAAAAAAAAAAAAAAAAAAAAAAGAGTCTCACAAAATGATGTAGCCTATTACCAGCAAATATAGGCTTTTCATATTTTTATTTTTAGTTAATCAGTCTGAATACAGCGTTCTCTCAATCTTTTACATGTAAACACAGAAATGTTTCAATGCACATGATTTCTGAAAACAAGAAATGGTGAAATAATGACTATGTGATATTATTGTACAGCACTAAACATGTAACACTGTATTATTTTTTGTACACTTGCATTATAAATATTTTACATTTGTATGTCCGGTGCTGTCATGCAACCGTTTCTGAAAATGAACATTTTCCTGAGTAGCACCTTATAAGTTTCTCATTCTTATCTAAAGTGCAATAGATTGTGGGATTGTTTTTGATTTTCCTTACAAGGGAACATTATGACCAATGGAGAACTGTAATTGTCCAATTGCATGAGAATTGCATGAGGTGTTACTACAGTGGGTCTTCACTGGTGTGGGATGGCATCTGCTTGTTCAGTTTTCTTTGTCCCAGCAGTACTCTTGCAGTGCTCCGGTTTACTGCCCAGCTGATGGCCGTACTCAAACCCGATCCTCAGTTCTCCCACCTGTGAGTGCGGAAGGATGTCTGGGATCCATTCAATCACAAAGGGCACAGGCTCTGTCTGCTCAGCAGCACATGTCCCTGAGAGAAACGATACCACAGTGTTTTATTCATAAAGCACAATACATTGAATGATAATGATTATCCCCTTGTGCAAACCTCATCCAAGTGACAAAGTCAAAATGATTGGATAAAGTCATAACTATCTAAACTTATGAGATAAAGTAAAAAATAATTAACAATAACAACATAAGTTATTACATAAAAAAAACAATTATGACATAGGAAGTTGAAATTATGAGATACAAAGTCATTGGCATTCACTAGGTCATGCCATTGTTAGATTAAGTTATAGGTAGACTATCTGTAGCCTTTATGATATGGATCATCATTTGGAAACCGGTGCAGCAGCAGTGCAGAATTCTGGGAGAATGAACAAGCAGACACAGAGCCAGTGTACTATAATAACATTCACAAATTTATTAAGGAAAATGGGTCATATTTATACAGATAGGTTCATGCAATAACATACAGAATGTCTTGGGCATCCAAAGGTCAAACATTACCCTATATGGATATTTAAAAATATAACAACCATTAAGATGTGCGTGCAAGCATATGTATGTGTGTGTTCTGGTGTGTGCATTTAGTTCTCGTTTTTTCATCCGGGTGTACCAGTATGTCCAAGGTCTAGTTCTTGTTTTGTCTAGGTATGTCTGTGATGGGCACATAAAGACAGGAAGTAACACAAGGGCAGTCAAAAGTGGAGCTTTAAGAAATAAGGAAATTTTACTGGCCACTTTAAATCATTTATGATTTAGCACTTCACTTTTAATGAAAATTTATGATATGGCTTTTTATCTCATAACTTTTTATGTCATAATTATCATTTACCAAAGCATGATTATTTTCTTATATGGCAGAAATGGGCTTCCTAAAAAATTTTTTATATCGAGGCCACAAGTTAACGATACGTTCCCGCGACTTACTAATTCGTCACCTTCGTGAGCACGGTTTACTAATTCGTTACCTCGTTTTAAGTACATAGTGTGCACGATTTACTAATCCATTCTGTTCATCGAATGATTTGTCAATAACTAATTCCTCTTTGCGAACAGGCTACATCCTCGTTACAGTCCTGTCATATGTTATTATGTATTCCAGTATTAAGTATTCCAGAAAGTGGTGTATTATATATTTCTGGAATTACCTCGATATTGTACTGAATACACTGTAGAATATTTCTGTTATGGCGCAACAACTTTGACAACTGAATGTCTCACATTTAAACAGAAAATAGGGTATTATGATATATACTGCACAGAGCATACAATTTGCCATGCTGTGAATTATGGAAAATGTTTGAAAATGGAAAATGTTTAATCTGTCTATTTGTTGCTTTGGTTATGTCATGTGACGGCTAATTGAAAAGATATATGATGTATTCTAATGGTTAAAACCATAGATATGTGTACGTAGATGCCTTATTTTGGACCATAGATCCACCATATTGGAACGGTCAAAGCCGGTCCATGAACACTCAAGAGCAAGTTGTCTGTGTGTCTGCAACTGTAGTTCTTGCCTGTGAAAGTTTGTCCCATTTCTTCGGGAATTTAAATTTGGGCAGTTTTTACAACCAGAGGCTGCGCAATATTGTGGCAGCTTGGAAAACCCATTGATTTTTACTATGAGCAATGACATATTGACCATTCCAAGATGGCGGACGCTGCGGTTGGGGAGTAACTAGTTACATATAATGGAATTACATAATTTAATTACAAAATAAATGTAACTGTAATCTGTTACAGTTACTGAGGAAAAAAAAATGTGTCATTAAATTACAGTTACTTATGAAAATGTTAGCGATTACAAAGGGGGTTACATCTGAATATTTTTTTTACACACATATAGATATGATTGATTTCTTTCCCAAATTTCATTGACTGCTTTAAAATACGAGACACCAATGTTTCAGGAGATTAGGACACAGAATAAGACACATACTTAACTGTTTTATTTCCAATTTGGGTTTATGTATATGCTTTATTTTTGTTTTTTTTCCAAGGCAATGTTAGATGCCAGTGTTTCCTGTCAAAACTATGCAAACATTTGATTTCAAAAACCTGTATGATACCTATTAAACTATTTTTTGTTATGATTTTAAATCTGGATTGAACCTCAGAATGATCTCAAAAGTAAAAAGAGTTGCTAAAGTCTAATTTTGTGGTGGCTGTGCTTTAAAATTAAATGATTATAATCTTAATTCAAGTAAGTAATCATTGCTGAGTACTACTGTAAGGTTAACCCTGCCTGCTTTAAATGTTTCAAAATGATTAACAGTTGAAAACATTCATTAGAAATTTAGAAATGTAAGCGAAAAGTAATCAAATGTAATCAGTTACATTACTTTAGTAACTGAATTAGTTACACTACTTATTAGTACATTTTAAACAGTGTAACTTATGATCTGTATCCTATTACATTTCCAAAGCAACCTTCCCAACACTGCGGACGCATTGACGTGTCGGAGTGGTCGAATGTGGCATCTACCTATACATATTTATGGTTAAAACTATATACAACAACAAGCAATATTGCAGAATGTTAAATCAGGAATCTAAAAGAACACTCTTTCATGTTTTCTATCTAGAAGAACAGTTCTTTCAGCCAATGGAATCACTTCGGGTCCAGTTGGGGATGAGAACTGATAGGGGAATATGATTTGGCACAAAACCAGGACCGATAAATCTGACTTCACACTAAGTAAATACATGCACTTACCCACTCTGAGGAAGGTACGTAGCTCCAGAGGTCTGATGGCCAGAGGCTTATTGGTGCGTGAATGGTGGCAGGTGTCTGATCCAGGATCAGGAGGAGTTGCCCGACAGCGGTACGGTGAATAGGAGCCGTCACTGTTCTTCACAAAACTCTGAGTGAGTTCTAGAGGTAACTGTTCAAACAGAGTGCCATCATTTAGAGACACAGATGCTATGGCCATTAGTGAAGATCTGACACATCAGGCAGCAAACGAATACACACCTCTGGGGTATCAAAGATGCGTTTCACATGCATCAAGTTGGTAATGTGCCAGGTGTATTTAGAGAAAGAGCCCAGAGGCAAAGCGTCATTACGCACAAATGCTGAAAACACACACATTACAAAATATTAAAACAAGGTGTAACTATATTTATAATCATCAGATGTGATGGTTAGCATGTGATAAATGTAAGGTTAGATGGCTACATGGCTAACAGATATTCTACTCACTGGTGGTGTAGTTGGGTAGTCGTCTCTTCTTTGAGCCCAATGATAAACGCTGCTGTAATGCATTGAAGAAAGCCTGAGGGATGTGGAACACCAGCGGCTCAGGCTTTCCTGTTCACAGAATAACCTTCAGCATCAAATCTCATCTGATCAAAGGTAGAAATGCTTGAAAAGTAGGAAACTTTAGAAATATAAATATATGTAACTATATGAAATCTTGCATTTCTTAAAGCATCCTAATTTTCTTATACATAAACATTGTCTTTTTACTTTACATTTTACTAATCCGTTTTATTTGTTCTTTTTTGCCATTTCATAAATTGTAAAAAGTATGATTTGCAAATTGTTTTACATTTTGCTACATTTTACAAATTATTTTTACACTAATTTAATAAATTTTAAAAGTATATTTTTGTATGACATCACAATAGTATTGTTGTACAACCCGTCAAAAGTTTTGCAATATTTGACAACAACTTTATGACAATTACACATAATAATGAGAAGCATCCTGTCAAGAAATAGATTTTATAATTCTACAATATTATGGGGACAAAAATCTCGACAGGATGGTTCTCATTATGCCAAGTGCCCTAAAAATGCTGTCAAATATTACAAAATTGCAAGTACTGAGGAAATCTGAATGTTTAGATTTCTTCCTCTCTCATTTTTTTTTTTTTATTTTTGCTTCTACAAAATGATGAAAAATAGATGTGCATCAGGTGCTTTTTTTCATTTTTTTTTTTTTCAGGTTATAAAGTTGCAAACTGAATCATTACATTTTCAATTGTTATTGTACAATACTATCATACATATTTTGAACATGCAATTTTATTGTAAATGAAAAAATAATTTAATAGTCTCCCTCTTATAATTCATAACTTTATGATGGTGCACTGAACTAGTGAACACAATCTTTCGTATATGACTTGAGTGTACCAATAGGCTTCATAATCTTTCATTCAAATATATTTTTCTTTTGATCTGAGGTGAAATGTGACCTGGACATGTTTTTGACAGGCTAATATTCTCTTACCATCAAACTGAAAGTGCATCGTCTGATGGATCCTCTCGGTAACACTAGCCAACCACTGCTGGAAACCCAGTGACACATGTGTCTCGTCCACCGGCTGGCTACTTCCTGTTTAATTCACCCAACCACACAACACACATCAAAATCAATCAACTACGATAATGAATTCCATGTGTATATCATTTATATTTTCAAACTTAAACGGGTAATGTGACTGTAAATCTCTCAAAATCAACCAACAAATGTTTCATATCTGTACTAAAGAACAATGAGAGCATGGGAAGGATACAGAAATAAAGTCAAAGAAGAAGAAAAGCAAAAGTGTGTAAGGGAAGAGGAAGTATCTGGCAGCACCTGGGTTCCTAAGCCCAGTAGAGCTGGAGTTTTTTCTGTGAGTGGGCTTGCGCTGGTTTAGGGTGGGAGCAGAAGTATCTTTGACAGCCAGAAGAAACGTGGAGGACACAAAGGAAGCGGTGTGAAATAGTGACAGGTCCACAGAGCCCAAGAATAAAAGAGGAAAACAGATTACAGAGAAAATGGTCAGTAACTACAGAACGTAACAGCAGTATTTAGATATCAACAACAGATTTCAGTGGGTGGAAAAGAAGAGACTCCGAAAATATTCATTTTGAGGCCCACACAGAATCTGTGCCAACAGAAAGCTCAGATTTCCTCAAAATTGAAACATCCATCATTCACAAAATTCCCTGCTTCTTCGTGCGTCTGCTTATTAAATATTTTGGTGAATCTTGTCATTTTTTGTAGTTGATGTAACACTCTCAGTTTAGCTTGACAAATATTACCACATACATGCATTTTCACGTTGCGATTATCCCAAAATTAATTAAAAAAAACTGCATTATGAGCAGGCCCAGAACACTTCAGCCAGTTTGGTGACTTTTCAGTCCCCTTTTCAGAGAAATGCATAAGCCTGAACATCGCTAACTGAAAATAGAACATTGTTCTACTGGATTGTAACCCTCATGTAGACTGTGAGCAAGAAAAATAAGACATTTTGTCACTTCTAACTTTCTCTACGACTGATCATTTTATATGTAAATACAGCCAAAATAACAGCACATCCTTTGTTTTTAACTTATGTCTGTGGTGATTTTGTCAGATGACACTGCAGTTATAAATCAGGATTTTAGCATTTCATGCCAATTTCATTGTCAGAAAAATATGCTTTATTCAGAATTTGGCTGTATTAAAATACAGAGAGCACACAGAGTAGGACAGAAACAAATGGATGTAAAGGGTTGATATTAGGTAGAATGAAAATACAATTCAACGACATCATGAATATGCTAATTAGCACACAGCACAATCTAAGAACATTTAGCAATTTTCAAGCAGAATTTCGCTACTTTCCACTGAGATTACTTGGCAATAGTGACCTTTGTGCAGTAGGTCTGAGGTCACACATTCTGTGATGCCTATCCATGAGCTTTAACTTACCAGTAGAGGACTCCACAAATTTGAGTCTCTTGGAACGATGAGAAATGGAAGGCTCAATGTGCTGCTGAGACTCAGGTATACTGAGCATTGTATCTGCCCTCTCCTGCAGTCCTGGACATGCATAATAATTCTCACAGTCATCTCTGATACATAGAAAAACACTCAACACACTATATATAGATCTGTTACAAACCTTTAGTAAGCCCTAACTAGATATCACAGGTGTGCTGTCAGCACAAATGCGGTTTCCTAAAGGTAGGAATTGTATACTCTCTAATACAGCTAATTCAGCTCAAGACATAAAGAAGCATTGCATGTGTCTTTAATGGTGAAAGCAATTATAGAATCTACTGTGATAATCATCTGCAGTACAGAGGAGAAAAAAAAATGTTAAGAGGACATTACTAATATAATTCATTCAATATCAAAAGGTATCAATAAAATGTTCATCTTCTAATTCATGAACTTCAAATTCAAAATGTAAAATTTGAAAAAATATTTGTGTACTATGCATTTTGAAGTTTATTAGATAATGTTGTTATGCTGCCTTCACGTGCTATCGGAAATTTCCTATTTCCCACTTGTGAAGTCGTGATTACGAGCTTGTCATATTCAAGTAATGTCGGAAAGAATAAAATGTAGCATCCCATTGGTTGACGATCATAAACATTCACCACGCTACACATGCAGTTTGCTGACAGTTCTGGAATTTCGGTCAAATACATGCTTATAAAACATATGCTTCGAATGATCGTTCATATCTAGCCAATAAATACTACTTTAGCAACAAGACAAAGGGATTTAGTTGTTGTGAGAACAGCATTGACAGCAGCAATGGTTGTCCCCTCCACCATGTTTAAAGATTATGACCCGCCCAACAATTATTTCCGAATTTCCCAGTAGTAAATACGACTTGAGGCGTTCAGGTCTAATTTCCGATTAGGAAACTTGTATTTACGATAATTCTGATAGCATGTGAAGGCAGCATTAGCCTGGCATCATGGTAACATCAAAATCTGTTGGAAACAATTCAGTCAAGTTTCCCTGTGCACTTCAGGAGCAATATTTTGTGCTGCACAAATAGCTTTCTGTGTAGAGCTTTCTGTCACTTTTGAAACCTTGGTTTGGACGCAACCTTAGAGCACGGGTAGTCAACTCTGCTCCTGGAGGACTACCTTCCTAACTGTGGTTTTCAAGGAATCCTAAATACCTTGATTAGCTGGTTCAGGTGTGTGTGATTAGGGTTGGAGCCAGACTCTGCAGAATGGTAGCCATCCAGTAGCTGGGTTGGCTTAGGCCACATCCACACAAAGCCTGAGCTTTTGCTATCCGATGTTTTTTTCCTTGTTCTAAAAAAACTTGCTCTGATGTCATGCTGACGTGTGCAAAAAAACTCTCGCGATGGCAAGGCGGCTGTGTCGGATTGTGCAGTCAAGCGCAGTTGCTCTCCACCGACTGAGCTGATCAAAAGCATGATGGGAAACGACTGACTGACGACACAGCTTAATGCTCATTGGTTCAGACAACTGTGATGCTGTGTTCTCTTCTGAAATGTTTTATTTCTTTATCTGGTTTCATGTGATTGCATGAATGTTCCCAAACACTATGACAGTGCGATCTCTGTGTGAGATATGTGATTGTTGTCATAATTCTATAAAAATCTAAAATACATGTTTGTATTAAAGTAAAAATGAATGATAAATACGCCTTTCATATGGAATTAAGTAGCAAGCACTTTGAGTGTCTTGTTCATCTTATTTTTATATAAAGGCAATAGAACTGAAATTACATCATGTTAATCGTGCAGCAGCACAGCACATGAGTGAGAATAACGCGATATCTGTCTTTGATCTCATTTGTATCAGTTCACTTCGAGAGGTCAGAACTGTCCGTCTTGACTGCGCTTATTTCACTCCTCCCCTCACTGCAGCCGCCTACTCTCACCTACATTTCAGGCGAGGTGCATCTCGAACAAGCCTAGTGTCTGACTAGGGTTGAGACGTGGGGTGATGACATCATTGTTGCACAAAATATATGGATTGGCTATACACACAAAAATGCAAAGGTGGCATTTTCAGATTTATCCACTCTGGGACCCAGTTTCAAAAAACAGCAGTTTCAGGCTCCCAAAACGCCAGATCCGTCTGGGCAAAACACGATACAAAATGTTTAAGTATACAGCTAAACGTGACTCTGTGTGGATAGGCCCTTAGAGAATAGCTGCCTATTTTAGGCTGTAGACTTGGTTCTCAACTCCAGTCCTGGGGATTCACTGCTGTGCACATTTTGTATGTCTTGCTTATTTAACACAATTGATTCAGATAATCAGCTCATTAGGAGATAGCTAGATGAACTGAACTGAGTGTTCCAGATAAAAGAGACATACAAAATGTGCAGAGCAGTTGGTCCCCAGGACCAGGATTGAGAACCACTGAACTAGGGGTGTCCAAACCTGCTCCTGAAGGTCCAACGTCCTGCAGAGTTTAGCTCCAACCAGCTCTCACACACTTGACTGGACGTTTCTATTAAGTCTGAAGACCTCGATTAGCTGGTTCAGGTTCAACTTCAGGAACATGCCTTTCAGGAACAGGATTGGACACCACTGCAGTAGACAGAAATTAGGCTCACTAGGTCATTGGTTCTCATTGCTGGTCATTGGCCATTCTGGTCCCGGCGACCCACTGCTCTGCACATATTTGGTGCTTCTCAAACAGAAAACTGCATCCTCCAAAGGCTGCATATCTCAGGTGCCACGTCATCAAACATCCCTGAAGGCCATCTCAATCGGAAGGATCCTTGGAAGGATAGCCTACAAGCCTCTGAAGCACTGACCTAGGAAGGATGCAGCCTTCTGTTTGAGAAGCACCCTTTGTATTTCTCTCATATCCGTCACATTCAGTTCAGTTCATGGAGATCTCTCCTAATGAGCTGATGATCTGAATCAGGTGTGTTAGATAAGCATACACAATGTGCAGGACTGGAATTGAGAACCACTGCACTAGGTTTTGGAGAAGCGCTTATGTGCAGGTGCACATAAGGCGGGGCTGTGCAACTTCGTTCCTGGGGCCCATTCTTCGTACGTCGCTTATTACATCCGAGATGAAATGTCACATCCGAGATGATATCATCGCGCTAATCAGGATCTGGCTAATTCGGTTCTTCAAAAAGACAGCAACGTAATGACATCATATAATTAATAAAGACACCTGACAAAAAACTTGACAAATCTTTGGACTTTTATAAGGAAACAGCCAAGTGAACAAAACTACATAAATGTTATAATACATAAATGAAATGTGCACTGTTTTTATTTTAATTTTTTACATGATGCCCAATTATTTATATTCACGATTTCTAATATTTGTACAGGCTTTACATTTTTATTTCAATGTAGTAATTAGCAATTCATTTAATTTTATATTTGAACAGATTTGTTATGTGACAGCATTAATTAAAGTTTGTTAAGGGTCAAGATCATGTTATCTGCATCTCCTACGCTCCATCAAGCCACTCCCATAATATCTGTCATCACTCAAATTAATGCACGACTCTACATTATCTGTATAGCATGTGTGTAAGACTCGAATACAATTATGAAGTAATCATTTTATGACGAATAAATCTCTCAGTGAGTAAAACTGGCTGTGTCTATAGTATTAAAGACTAACATTATTATATTATCTTTAAATTAATTTTTAAATGATTATTATTTTAAATTGTTGTCCCTGTATTAGTAGGGCACTCTTGTAATAAAGTAGCGTTGGTAACGGACAGATTTTAAGTATCAATTCTGCTTAAAAAGATGCCATCTAATCCTGTTTACATCCTGTAAACCGGGATGAGCTTCAAAGAACCAAACTATCCAAGATCATGCCAAATCGTCAACAATCAAATCCAGCTAACTGAGTTAGTGACGTACGAAGAACGGGCCCCTGGAGGACCACTGTTCTGCAGAGTTTACCTCCAACCCTAATCAAATGCACCTGTCTGTAGCTTTCTAGCGTTCTTGAAGACATTGATTAGCTTGTTCAGGTGTTTTTTAATGGGGTTGGAACTAAACTCTGCAGGATAGCGGCCCTCCAAGACCGAAGTTGCCCAGCCCTGACATAAGGTGACCACCTAAATCCTAGGTCTCCTGGGGATCCACTGTCCTGCATAGTTTAGTTACAACCCTAATCAAAAACACCTGAACCAAATAATCAAGCTCTTCTAGATCACTTGAAATATCACAGTCCAGGTGAGCTAAAGCAGGTTGAAAATCAATTTTGCAAGGCAGTAGGTCTCCAGGAGCAGGGTTCAAGACCTAGGACCTAAATTGTGGACTTACCATTAATGTTGTAGTTGAGGAAAGCTGAAAACTCAGAGGTCAGCTTTTCATCACTTGTAAAGGCACAAACGCAAGCATAGAAATGGAGGCAGCACTCGGGTAAACTATTCTGGTGGGAATTTTCTCCTTCGTTGATGTTAGACTGACCCCCACTTCTCACCCCCAAATCCCCCTTGGTATTAGGTACGTAACATGCACAGTGAAAGGGAGCCAGACTCATAGTCTTGTCTTTAACACCAGATACGGTCACTGTCAGATGCAGCAGTCCCAGAGGGTGGGCTTCACCTGGCTGGCACTTCACTATTAGGGTCCCTTTAGAGACCCTCTGCACCAGGGGTCCCGGTGTCTCGGTAGCCAGCCTCCACAACTCTTCCTTGTCTTGGGAAGTGGCCACTAGGGCCTCCAGCACAGAGCTCTTGAGTGGCAGAGGTGTTGCTTGGGTCTGACACTCCATGGCTTGCTTCACATGGGTACAGGGACTTTTGGATGGTTGCGACACTTGCTGATGGCCACCTTCAACTGTCAACTCACTTTCGTTCTGCTGGCAAGAGGGCATGTAACAGCGACCGAGGTTGACACGGGTCAACAGGGTTCCATCTGCAGTAGTAATAGCTGTATCCGTGAGGACTAACTCAACAAAGCCTTGTTGTTCAGAGCCATGTCCCCGCTGACGCACAGAGAACACTTGCGGCCCTCCAGCCCTGCCACCTCCACTGTCTGTCACAACTCGAACCACTTCACATGCCCCTTTCTTTAAACGTCCCGTTCCGTGGTCCCCATCCCTGAAGATGGTTCCACAGGCCTTGTTCTTACAGCTGAGGCCACGGGTGCCATTGTAAACGCCACACTGAGGGCACTTGCGGATGCCTCTTAAGGTAGCCTTGCCCAAGTTGGACAGAAATGCAGGAGTCTTCCGCTTGTCCCGAGTCTTCCCGCTCAAGTTACCAGAGCTTTGAGTAATGGGAGAAACCACCATTTGTGACGCCAGTGGTATTCCAGAGTTTACCAGAGAACCATCCATTGTTAGCAGATGTACACTGAAACCGAGATTGATACAGGACAATTTTATTGTCAATGCACAAGGGGGGAGCCCTAAACAAAGGACTGTTTAATTGCTGTAGTGCTACTATGGTACGGTGCAGCCTTTTTACTGAGGCACAAGCCCCAGTGAAGTATCGCTATGTGTCTCAGTAAAATATTACTGTTAAATCCTCGTCTGACTGTGGAGATCACCATACACCATGTACTGGTTTGTAAAAAGGTCTAAAACTGTTCATGATTCAGTTTAATTAATTCAGACAGTTCACTCACACATTGCATTGTTTGAAGAGGTTTCTCACATCCAGATAGGTTCTTTATATGACAAAAAAAAAAAAGCACTGGATAGATATTTACCTACAGTCCTTTGTAGGAAACAAAATGTGCAAATGTATTCTATCGTTTGGCAGCAAAGCAGCTCATTACTGTGCCTGCAACTTGTGAATACTGCAGGTCAAGGAAATTTATATTTTTTACAAAATATATAACAGTACCAAAAAGAGTATCAAAATATGGGTATACTTTTTTATTTTTTAGTTTAATTTTATTTATTTAATTTTTTTTTGGACTTGGGCCTATGAAACTGTATTAAAGGCTAGAAATGCTCCAGGTACAGTAATGGTATCAGGGAATACCATGTCAGTGGAAGGTTAACATACTAATGGTACTTCAGAAAAAACACACACACATGCCCAAGCACATGCCCAAGAAACCCTGGTGTTGGATTACAACATGTCTAAAAACCCATATTACTTTATTTGAAAACCCAGGGCACTTTATTTGGTTAATGTAATCTCTGATTGTAAAATCCCAAGGCAATAAAACATTTTAAGTCTATGATGAATGACTATATGATGAATAGTTTTAGTACATACTTCATTATATAAATTAAATAACATTTAACATTTGCACAAACGAATGACATGCAATCATACTGTACTACAGTATAAGATTAGCAATGCATTCAAATGACACCGATACATCGGGACTGATTTGAGTTTAACATTAGCTGTGCGACAGTGAATGAACAGAGTTAAGCAAATGATGAAGAAAGACAGGCCAACCTCTACAGCGGCGCTCTCCAGGCAGGCGCTCAGTGGTCAGATTCCGCGGAGTACTTCACTTCAGAGCTTCAGCGACCGTCGCCATTCCTCCTTACAAACAGACTCTCCGCTGCGGCTGTAACGAGCTTCCCGATTGGCCACAGGGCGACCAATCAAAAGCATACTGGGAACTGAAGTCAATAGTGACTCTCATTATTTACTAGCTCATTAACATTTTGGAAAATAGTTATTTCTCCCTAATTTCGTTGGCTTGTTCTTTGTTTTCATTTCTGGACTTTGGGAATTTACTCTAGATCATTTAAAGTACTTATGTATAACAATTACACAATAATATATCTCTTATGTGTTTTTTTTTTTACCATACCATTCTTACCATACCTTCAATTATTTTTGCTACTTAAAATTTCATGTAGATTTTAATGTACCTTTGTTCCAGATCCGTCCATATGAACATAAACCTATACAACTTAAATACATTTCATGTTTAAACCTATCATAACCTGAACACCTAAAAAACACCTTTTATTAGTTCCATAAATTACAACCGTCCCTCACCTGTCATTTCCCATTTTTCCCCTAATAAAGCTTTTATTATTATTATTTTTCTAATTAGCAAGCCCAATATGTCAAGTAACACAATCTAGCTCAAAGACAAGACAGACAAATGTTGGCTCGCATCTGTATTTTAATGGGACAAAGCAAGAACACGTAATAATAGGATGAACATTCTTTTAAAAATCCCTCAAAACACAAGGTCTCAATTTATTTGTAGGCACTGCCTAGGTTTAATTAACATCAGTTTCTTCAAATGAAATCAACTCACATAAGGCAACACAATTGGTCTCGTATTTTAAAACTCCATGGGCAACAGTGCAAAATTCTGATCCATTCAGGTTTCTCGTCTTGATACTGAATACTTCATTAAAAAAAAGTCAACATTTCGATTTTACACACAGAATTATCACAATTCTAACAAAACGTTCGTTGCAGCACAAGACAGCAGATTCTTCCCCAAGAGTTATCTGGAAGAATCCTTAAAACCTTATGGACCAGCATTCAACAGAGCTGCTAATGCTGAAAGATAGTTGCA